GAGTGCGCCAGATAGGACGCGCCGATCCAGACCTCCTGCGAAAGAAGAGGGTCCTCACGCATACTTCTGTGCAGCGTTCCCAAGGCTTCTTGAAATCTAACCCATGCACGACATTCGCTCAACGACTCCCGCACAGCACGTCGTAGAGCTCGCTTGGTCAGTCTGTCTGCCTGCTGCTGGAAACTGGCAACCGCCACTCCACGTGTATCTTCCAAACTCAGGAGCAAACCACTCTACACATCATAATCATGTCAACTCCATCGGGCGTGCTGGACACGAGCTGCCTGGCTGCTTGCTGCAACTGAACCATCTGTGCGCGGCCGTTCCCACGGCCCCTGTGGCGCTGGAACTGACAAAAGATGGGTGCAACTCGCTTCCACAACAAGCAACTTGGTCGCGCAGAGGCCCAGCACGAGAACTGTTGCTTTGCTTGACCGACTTTTCTATGAACATCCGTCGCCCCTCCGCCCAGATGGCGGGACTTGGTGGTGAGCGTATTTGCCGTCCTCAACGGTGCTAACTCATTGAGAATACCATGAGCTCACAAAATGAACATGGCCAGGATTGAGCCTAAACGCTCCGGAGGAACAGCAGTGCGGAGGAGGGTGGGGGGGGGCGGTATTACAAACGTGCTGGGCCCTGTGTTGGCCCCAATCCTCATCAGGGATAAAGAAACTAGGCTCAACCTTCACCTTTGGCACTTCCGAGGGTGCAGGCTCAACCTGGCTCACCGATTCACATCTTATGGCTGTGGGGGCCTCCAAATTGACTACCTGGACCAGCTGAGTGGCTCATGCCCTCCGTGACACATTGGGACAGAGGGATCGGATTTTACAACGGGCTCGGCAGGACCGCTGAAGTTAGGCTCGTTGGCCCACAGGTCCTCTTCCTCTTCGCCAAAATCGAACGGAAAAGCCCCCTCGCCAGGAATGTCAGTTTCCTCGTCCTGGGAGGGGCCGCACACAGAAACATAATCAGAAACCTGCGCCGAATTCAGACTGTCTCCGAAGTGACTCAGATATTGCTCCGAGCGTTTCTCCCGAGCACTGGCCCCCTCGACCGCGGACTTCTTGGCCCGAGAGGCCTTGTACCCTGGTGTAGCTTTCTGGACGGGGCGGGGGGCCTGCGGCAGGCGCCCCGCTCACTCCAAGCGGCGGGTCAGAAGTTGACCCTCCTCCTCCTCCTGCTCCTCCTCCTCCTCCTCCTCATCCTCATGGCCCGACGATCGAAGCGAAAGAGCCAGCCCAACATGTGGCCGCCACAGCACGTCCAGCACAGGATCCCGTTTGACGACGTACGGCAGGGCAGCGTCTGAGTCTACGGCGTAGTCAATCGAGCTCCCCTTGTCCCCGGAATCGCACGTGTACTCCACTTTGGACTCGCAACAGAAAGCCACTGCGAGAGAGAACATCTGGCTCCACGTTCCAGTGTCCCAGGCATATCGGGGGCAATTGGAGAACGGTCAGCAGCCCACCCACCTTGCGCAGCCTGGAAATGTTCCTGCCCGACATGCCAATGGACGAGAAGCAGCGCGCAGTCAGGAGCACGATGGAGAAGCCCTTGAGGTGCAGCACCGACGCCGTGAAGCCGTCCTGCGCCTCGCACCCCTCGGCCTTGAGGGCTCCCGTCATCTTGACCTCCGCGAGCGGCTCGCATCGAAGATGACCTCGTGCCAGAAGCCATTCTCCACCTTCGTTGGCGCGGTCGGCTCGTGCCTGACCACCTCGACCAGACGGCCTGGCGGCGTTCGAGATCATCCTGAGCTTCTTCTGTCGATCCTTGCTCTCCCACGTGCGTATTTGACTCGCCCCAACGTGAGTCTCGGCACAACCCAAGATGTGGAACTTGGCTGACATATCTAGACTATGCGTCCATGCACGATCCCCCATGGCCGTGACATTAGCGAAGAAAAGGTTGAAGTCGGACTCGGACTGGTCAGAGTCAGAATGCATGGACACAGCCAGCGCCTGCACCTGCGCCGGCCGCCTCATTGCCGACCGTCAAGCTGAGGTGGACGGTGGGGCGCTGTCCGCCGCGGCCTGGTTGTCCTTGCCTCTGGCCTTGGCCGCCGCTGCCGCCTCAGCCGCTGCGAACTTGGCCGCCGAGATCCTGTCCGCCTCGGCTCGCACCGCCTCCAGAGGGCCTCGGCCTCGGAAGTGCGCCCCGGCCGCTGCTGCCGGGGCTTGGCATCGCTCGGACGTGTGCATTTTTTTCCTTCGGCGAGGACCAACCATCGAGGAGCATCCTTGATCATTTTCAGAGGCCAGCAACATATGTACACGTACCCGGTTGACTTACCCTGGAGTGCGTGTCAACGCGGACGTTCGTGCAGGCAAGACCGCCGAGGGCGTACATGTACATATGTCGTTGCTCGCCCACATTTCGCGAAAGAACCACGCGCGAAACCGAAACAGACGCAGGGCATGGACGTCCGAGCGATGGCTGGGGGGAGCCCCCGCTGCCTGCTGCCCGCCGCTGCCCGCCGCCGCGCCACCGCCTTCAAGAGCTGGTCCTCGTGGGCCGGGCCTCGGGCCTCGCCTCTCTCCGCTTGGTGACGTCGTCGGCGCCGTCAGCCCTCCTCGTCTTGCGGGAGGGGAGAAAACACACAGACACAATCAATCGTCGACTCCCGGGAAAACATGGGAAAATATGGGAATTGGGCTGGAAGACAAAAATATGGAATATGGGAAATATGGGGAAAAAAAAACACAGACACAATCTATCGTCGACTCCCGGGAAGATATGGGAAACTATGGGAATTGGGCTGGAAGACAAGAACCCAGAACATATGGGAAGATGTGGGGAATCCTGTCATTTTTTTGTGTATTTATTCGTGTGTGTTTGTGGGCCCCTTCATTCACCTTCGCCGCCTTGTCGAGCCAAGACTTCACCTCGGCATTCTTGCTTTGCATCGACTCCTCCATCTGAACCACTGTAGCATGAATGCGCTTGAGCTCCTCCTTGTCGGACTTCCCACATTCCAAATTGCTGATGTCCTCGAACATCGATTGATCCCATGAGACAGAGAACGCTTCCTCACTACACTTGGTCTCAGGGGCCGCCGAGGGACGCTGGTCCACGCCCAAACCCTCAGCGCGAGCAAGTATCTTTGCTGCCCTTTTCTGAGCATCTCAGCTGCTGCTAGGGCCTCCGCCGCCGCCACCTCCTTGGCTTCGGCAGTGGCCAGAGAGTCGCGCAAGCGACGCACGTTGGACACCATCTGGTCGTGCTTGTGATTGCATCCTCTCCAGTTGGCCCTCAGCGCGCTTGTCGGTGTCGGCGGCCGAGGTGGGGGACTCGACCTTGGCAGGGGACTTTTTTTCAGGAGCTCGATACGATTCTTCAACAGCGCCTTCGGCTCCTGATCCTCTGTGTTCTTCATGGCCTCCATCAAGTGGTGGGTCACGCTGGTGGCTGTCTCGCACGGAGGCCTGGAAGTCTTCTGGGACCCGCTGCTCTCAATCTCAGTGTTCCAAACCTCATCCTCGTCGGCGAAGGACATACGACAAGGCGACTGCGAACGAGACCGAGCCTTCTGCTTGGGAACACAGAAAGGCGTCGCGCTGGCACTTGCCACACTCGCCGCCCGACCTGGTGATGCTATCGTTCCACTCGCATTTCCCGCGCTGGCATCTGCTCCAGAGCCGCTGGCCCCTCAAAGAGGAGCCCCCCATGGCTGACGGGAAGGAATGGGGTCTGACACTCTCGCTTTGGTCACAGATGACGGGCCATCTCAGTAGGACTCTGCTCTGTGTGCCTCAAGCACTCCGAGCAAACACGAGAGTCGGCAAGAGCAAAAAGCTCGGGCCTAGGTGGCTTGAGGGAGTAGGAGGAGGAGGAGGAGGAGAGGATGAGGATGAGGATGAGGATGAGGATGAGGAGGAGCAGGAGGAGGAGGAGGAGCAGGAGGAGGAGGAGGAGGAGCAGGATGAGGAGGAGGAGGAAGAGCAGGAGGAGGAGGATGATGATGAGGAGGAGGAGGAGGAGCAGAAGGAGCCAGGAGGAGGAGGAGGAGGAGGAGGAGGAGGAGGAGGAGCAGGAGGAGGAGGAGGAGGAGGAGAAGGAGAAGGAGGATGAGGAGCAGGAGGAGGAGGAGGAGGATAAGGAGCAGGAGAAGGAGGAGGAGGAGCAGGAGGAGGAGGAGGAGGAGGAGGAGGAGGAGGAGCAGGAGGAGGTGGAAGAGGAGGAGGAGGTGGAGCAGGAGGAGCAGGAGGAGCAAGACGAGGAGCCCTCTGGTGCCCGCGCCCTTTTTCGCTCTCCCTGCCGGGTGCCCGCGCGCCGCTCCTGCAACGCCGCGGGGTTGATTCCCCGGGAACGCGGGGGGAGAGGTGCTCTCGGAGCTTCAGAGACCGGGGTCAGTGCAAACGGGGGTCAGCGAGGGCACCGGATCCTGCAGGATCCTGCGAAGACCCCCTCTGGCTGACCCGGGTTAGCGAGCCGCTCGTGGCTGCGAGGCGGCCGCGCATATTGGCCGACCCCGGGTATCGAAGCCCTGTTCTTTTTCCAGCGTTGCAGTTTTTGGTTTCCCGCTAACCCGGGTCTGATTGACTTGGGTTAGCAGATCCCGGATGCTCATGTGCTCGTTTTTTCCCATCTTTCCTTTCCTCACTGTTTCCCTCTCTCTCTTCCTCCTTTTCTTTCTGTCCTTTCCTCACTCGCTCACCCTCTCTCTCTCTCTTTCTCTCTCTTTCGCTCCCTCTTCCACACATTCTCTCTGTCTGTCGCTCGCGCACCCTTTCATCCTTGCATGCTCGGCCTACCCTCAGCCAGCACCGCTGGCCATATTCCCTCCGCAGGATTCAACTTGGGCGTCCAAGGCCGTTGCATCGTTACCGCGCATCCCTATGACCCTGTCGCGGGGTATATAGTGTGTATACATATATTTATCCGCTGCTATCCGTTTTTTTTTTGTTTCCCCTCTCTCTCTCTCCCTCCCTCCCTCCCTCCCTTCCTCCCCATCACGCCCTCGCGCTCTCTTCTCGCTTCGCCCCGCGAACCAGGAAAGTCCAACCTGTTCAGTCTAAAAGACCAGGGTGTACACCACGCAGCCGGAGATGGGGGCGCTGGAGAGTGCGCCACCCGCTTTGTCCGCATACTGAGAGCGTGGCTCTTGCCTCTCAATGCCCGTGATGGGGTGATTCTTGTATTTCGCTTCGATTAGATCTTCTTTTTCTCAATGATTGAAGCTAGCAGATGTCTTGTCAGTGTGCTAGCCGTGGAGCCTCGAACATCTAGACCGTTTGATGGACCGGATGTGGCTGGTAGGAGGACGGCGCAGGCGAGCTATAAGCAATATTCTTGATATTAAGACGCGATGGTTTCCCGTACGCTATGTGCATCTATGGGCATCAGCGAAATCTCAGCGTATTCTGGGTGCATTTCGTGCTTGCTTCGAGGAATGAGCCTTTGACGGGGAATATGTGCAGGACGATTGACCTGGGTGCAGGAAGAATGAATGTCGACAGTTTAAGGAACACTGGAATGTCAGAAGGCGGGAGAGTGGGTCTGAAGTGAATGGTTGGAATTCGGGGAGACAACGGCGATGGCACCAGGGAGGGGGACGGCAATAGTGAGGACCAGCTTCGCAGAAACGCTTGAGGTTCCAGAAGCCAGGAGTACGCATGGACTCGAGCGCTCACCCGGTTTTCTGTGGCGGGTTTCACGATGAAGGTGGCATCCATAGGACAACCACACCGCACCGCGGAACTCATAACCTATGGGGACGGTCCTGCTGCCGAAGTTGCCGTGGCCTCTGGCCCATCGATTCCATGTCGCTCTGGAACAGCATCCGTTTGTGCTCGCCACGCTGCCGATGAGATATTCTAGACTCGCGGAACCCCACCAGCTCATCCAGCAACGATGCCCAGGCGAGTTGCCCTGATCATAGAAGGCCAGAGGCCTCTTGGATGCCTCTCGGAGTCTTGGGATGTTTCTTGCGAGCTTTTTGGGGGGTCCTCCTAGGGCGTCTTGGGGCCGGTCCCGGGGGCCTCTCGGAGCGTGTTGGGTGCCTCGGGGTCGCCTCTTGGGGGCTCTCGGGGGTCTCTTGGGAGCCTCTTGGGGCTTCTAGGGCGCCTCTTGGGCCCTCTTGGGGCACTCTTGGGAACCTCTTGGGGGAGTTCGATCAAAGAAGAGGGTTCCTTCATTAGGGTCCCCCCCCAGGATGCCCAAACTGCCTTTTCGCCGAGGCCATCTTGGAAGCTCCTATGGGTCGCGGCCCCCCCGTCCAGGTCCAGGGGAGGGGATAGGGGGAAGGGCCAAGCTACCCACAAGCAACAAACCATCTCGCTCATTCCCACCTGCCCTCCCAACACGAAGTAGCACTCGAGTCTCAGCATGGACAGGGGCCGCCATCGACAACCTTCGGGAACCAATGCAGAGTGCGCGAAGCTTGCGAGGTGCGCCGCACATGCCAGCTGCGCGCCACGAACACCAGGTGCTCCACATAGGGCAGTGTGTCGACCCTCACACCGGCCATGGCCAACAAGGGCGGGCTTGTTGTGTGCAGGTTTGCGCCCACCGCTTTGCATGTGTTTTTTTGACAGGGACAGTGGGCCTGCGCAGAGCAGGCGTCATGCCGCCCCCCCCGTTCTTGGCAACATGAGTATTATTTCTCTTCATTTCGAGAGGAATGGTTGGCCTGTGCACAGCAGGCAATATGCCATCACCCTCGTCATCCTGTCCCCTCTGCACTCTTGTCAAAAACCGATTCATTGTGAGCGCGAGCCGTCCGCGCATGATCCAGATGTTGGTGCACAGTGTACCTGGTACTGTATGTTTGCATGGGATGGTATGGGGTGTTGGCATTGCACACAGCAGGCGATATGCTGCCCCCTCCCGTCGTCCCTGTTTGAAGCCAATGCAAAGTGATCGCGGGGCGTTCGCGCATGGTTTAGATGTTGGTGCAAAGTGCACTTGGTATTTGTGTTTTGCACCGTTTTTTTTCTTGTTCTTTTTGCAAGCAGTATGCAGGCACCCCCGCCGTCTTTGTCAAAAAGCCAATACAAAGTGGACGCGGGGCGTCCGCGCATGCTCCAGATTTTGAGGCACAGTTAATTTTTTGTTGTTATTGGACAGGGATGTTCGGGGGGGACGTTGTCATGGGTGCCCTCATGTGCCTGCTGGGTTGGTTGCTGGTCGGGTGGGGGAGGGGGTGTTTTTTGATAGGGAACAATGACAAAACCCCTCCCCAAAGGGGAAGAAGTGGGGGTGGAATAGCGAACTCGCTGAACCTTTCACGCCCCCCGTGGACTTCGCCTATGCTTGGGCCTTTCGAGGGGGGGGACAGGGGTGTGAAGAGTGCACTCCCCTGCCCCTCTGCCGCCCGTGCCACCGTGTACGCATGATGTACATGCTTTTCATGTTTGTGGCATGCACGCTGCCCGCCGCTGTTTTGGCCCTAGTCCTAGGGCCATGGGGCTGCACCCGCAGTTGGACTGCCGCGCGGTCCGAGCTAAAAGAACTGCACTGACATTGGTAGCGGAGCTTGTAAGCTCCAGCGGACGCACTGCGTGCTCTGCTTCGGTGGCTGTGACAACCCGCGCGGGCCGCCATGGCTGCCAGCCACGACGGCTCAGACGCGGAGGCTGCGTCCTCCGTCGGCGCAGGTCCCCCAGACCTGCACGCGGTCCTGCGCGTGATGGCTGAGACCCAGAGGGAGCTCTTGGCCTTGCATCGGGATCGCGGCGGCGACGGCGGTCCCAGACGCGCACGTCTACTGCTGTCGCAGGTGAAGCTCCCGGAGTTTGACGGTGCCGTCGGTACGAGTACCAAGAAGTACCGGGAGTGGCGCAAGGCAGTTGAGGTCATCCGCAATCTCAACCAGCTTTCTGACGTGGAACTGGGCCTGATCATCTTCGGCCAGGTGACAGGTCGGGCCAAGGAGCTCGTCGAGGTGCTTGACGCGTCGGACCTTCGACGCGAGGATACGCTCGAGACTATCTTCGCTATCTACGATGACGCCTTCGAGAAGATGGACCACGAGCGCCTGGACCAGGTGCATCAGGAGTGGGAGCGAGCACGCCGTCGAGCAGGGCAGCCCATCATGGATTGGACGACGTACCTTCGGAAGAAGCGCATGGAGTTGCAGCTCGAGGACCCCACGTCAGCGATCAGCGATCGCGCGCTGGCGAGCAAGATGCTCCGTGGCGCTGGGCTGTCGCAGAAGGAGCGAGCGCAGGTGCTCTTCAATTGCGGCGGCATCTACGACTCGAAGCGGATGGAGGTCGTGCTGAAGGCAGCCTGCTCGAAGGTGCACGACACCTAGAAGCGCTCGGTGCTCCCTCGCCGCTCGCCGTTTGTGGCGGCGCAGCGTGAGCACTGGCGCTCCTCCGGGAGCTCGGGCGGTCGCTATCCGCACCCTCCCATGGCTCGTAGGCCATGCGTGCTTCGAGGGCGCCCTGGCCAGCATGTGCACGAGGTGGAGAACGGTGAAGACTGCGATGAACACGACGGCGACCTGGAGGAGGCGCAGCACGACGAAGATGAAGCAGATGAACAGGACGATGGAGACCCCGGGGCTGGCGAGGGGATCATCTTCGAGGACGGCGCCGAGGTCGAAGAGGAGCTGGCGTCGGACAACGACGGGCCTGATGACGAGGAGTACGAGGCGACGGAGGATCTCCAAGAGGCGTTCTTGGCCGGTTGGAGGGCCAAGCAGAAGACGGCAGTACAGCGTCAGAAGCGCGGGTTCGTTGCCCCTCGGCAGCGGGGCCCCAGGAAGATCAACGTCAGCGGCTCCTTCCAGGCTGGTCGCAAGCCGACGGACCAGCGCAAGGCTAACAGCCGGTGTGCTGACTGCGATCAGCCCGGCCACTGGCGTGGCGACCCGGAGTGCCCCAAGGTGAAGAGTGGCGAGCGCGAGCCGTACAACAAGACCGGGCCTAAGAGTGGCCAGCCAGCGTCGCCCAACCAGCGGGGCTCTGCGAAGCCGCCGGTTCCAAGGCAGGTGCATGGACCGGTCATCCACTGGGTTGGCATGGCAGGCAGTGCCGAGGAGCGTCGTCGCCGCGCCTCATGGCGCCGCGCTCCCCAGTCGGTGCCTGCCCAGAGGCATCCGGTGGAGGGCCGAGCCGATGCTCCAGGGCGGATCGTCATGAATCCTCGACCCAAGAGCATGCCTGCGCCAAGTCTACGCCGGGACGCCGACGATGGCCCCGGGCCCGCAGAGGGCAGTGATGAACGTGCGCGCGCCCTTGCCAGGCGCGGGGAGGATCAGGAGGACGAGGATGCATGCGTGCGTTGCCATCGCATTCTGGCCAACACCCACCCAAAGGGGCACAGCGTGGAGTTGGAGTGGCCTGACCTTGCCACGGTCCATCACATCGTGGAGCGTGTGACGAACAAGAAGCCCATCTTCTTCAAGCAAGGCCGCTTCGAGGCTCTCGACTTCGTCCAGGGTCGGCTCATGCGGCTGCAGCTGACCACGTCGAAGCCTTGTACGGCGGCTGAGGTGGATCTCGACGAGATCACGGCAACTATGTTCAAGATCGTGATGGGCGGAAATCGTGATACCAAGCACCGCGACGATCGGCGCGGTGAAGGCGGGAATCGTGACGCCAAGCATCGTGAAGATCATCATCGAGATCGTCGTGACGACCGCCACCGCGATCGGGGAGCTGTTCTCCGTGAGCATCGCGCCCCTCCTCCGCCCGAGGCGGGGGCCTCATCGCGTTCGAGGTCGCGGAGTACACCGGAAGGCCGCGGTGAGAAGGAAGAGAAGCGGAGTACACCTGAGGGCCGCGGTGAGAAGGAAGAGAAGGAGGAGAAGAAAGAGAAGAAGAAGAAGGCGAGGAGCAGTAAAGAAGAGAAGAAAGAGAGGAATAAGGCAAGAAGCAGCAGGGAAGTGAAGAAGGAGGCCGAGGTGAAGAAGGGGGATGAGGCCAGCGAGGAGGATGAGGCCAGCGAGGGCGATAACGATCAGCGGCGTGAGGATAAGGAGCTGCCGTTCACGCCGGAGGAGATGGATGAGATCTTCTGCAGCTGGTATCCGCGTCAGGACATCTATAGGGATTGCCTGACGCCGCCGGCAACCATCCACTTCATCACGAAGAACGACCGCATCGTGCGCCTCA